ATTTATTATAAATGGCTTGGTTAACAGTGGTCGACCCATTTTTAATGTGTTATTTTGCCTCGTTTATTTCACATTAATTTCTTTTTTCATTGCTTATGTGCGCGCTTGAGCTAGGAATACATCAGTGCGCTGTTTACAGTAAAAAGGTTGTGACGCTGGTTACCATTTTCTTCACCTCTCTCAGCCTGTATCTGTACAAAGAGGTGATGTCTGGGTTCATGCTGCTGCCTGAAGGCAGCCATCAAAGGTAGTGACAACAGCTCGAACTTGCTCTCCTTACAGCTGTAGCGTGCGGTTTCCTGTCAGTGATGAGATGCACAATCAAAAGACTTCACTCATGTAGAAAAAAAAAAGACTCCTGAACAACAGAAGATGGGCAATGGCCCAAATTAAATTAGATAAAGCAGCAGATGCAGATATGAGAACTACTGGAAACTGAAAGTGATAAAGTGACAAATGAGAAGGGAATTTTTTTAACCATTCATCTTAAGAAATGCAAATGCTGCTGTGGTTGTGTGACTCATTTCAGAAAGCGCTTCTCCTTTGTGCTGACTTCTTTTTTTTTTAATAATGAGGAAAAGAAAGCCGTTGATGGCGAACCAAAGCCCTTGGCGATCACCTAAGGCCACACTGGGGGTGATTTAGACTTAATAATATGCAGTCTTTTGTCCGTGCCAGAGTTTGTGTGTGTGTTGTTTTATTGATTTATTCATATCCCCGAAGGAAATGTGTGCAGCATTCCACCTGCTCCTCCAATTTCCTCGCAGAGTATGTCGAGATACAGATAAAGGAGCCATGTAATCGCATGCACAGACATGCACCCTGCATCACTGTGGTGCTATGGGAAGGTATGCAAGGTCCAATGCAAACGTACCCTCAGGAACATTCCCCACGACCCATATTCCACCTAACCTTGAAAAATATCTCCGCATTCCTGCTTTGACTCAGCTTTCCTGGGGTTTAGTTGAGTGTCTGCTGCATGTGGTGAGATGAGAAAAAACAAACAACTTATTACAAATACTTTCAATTGTTTTAGAATCTCACTTTGAGACTCATTCAGTAGCCGCTCAGCGTTAGTGCTGTAAATCAACATGACAGCAGCGGCACTGATGGGCCTGTTCCTTCATGTAATGTGCTTCAGAAACACAAAAACGTCTTATCTTTTAGGAAACGGTTGCACAAAAGTGTAGCCAAGTGAAGTCTCCTCCTAGCAGCACCATTTAAGCCAGTGTTAGAAAAGACTTGAAATTCTTATTAAGGACCCCTTAATTGATTCTGTCATTTTTCTTGATGAAAAATCATATAGGGCCATAAAATAAGTAAATACAAACACATATGTACGTTTCAATGCAATCAGCGAATATTGTAATTTGAAAGTAAGTGACAGCTTTGTAAGTGTAAGCTGTCAGTATGGGTGTGCACAGTTCTTTTAACCACAGGCTGAACCAGCCTCTGAATCAGCCAGTGGTCTTTGACCCTTATTCATGCTCGCTGTCACTTCAGCTCTAAAGCCTGACAACAAAGAGCAGCTTTTGTTCCCTGGCTTACTCTTCTTCCACGCACATTCTTTGCTGCTTCACTCTGCTGCTTGTAGACGAGTGGGGTGAATTTAGATTGAAAACTGCCACAGGAAACAAACTCAGGCTACTTTAAAGGCACATTCATAATAAATATGTTAATATGTCTATAATTTAAAATGCTCCAGTTTGTTCCAAGACTGAGGGTAAAAGAAATGGTGAAACTGGATGGGTCGTTTTCACATATTTAACTCAGATAAACAGTCAGCAGAAAATGTCAGCATTTTCTGTCAGCAGTGAAAGAAAATGTTACCCTGAGGTACTTTAAATCTTTGAGAATGACAGGAAATGGTATTTTCAAGGTACTTTTGCTGAAACCAGGTCACGTATGTCAAAGGGTTTAATAGGAGGTGCTTATCATTTGTAGAAAACATTCTC